TCCGAACCCTCGGGCGGGAGCGCCGCCGCGCTTCCCAAGCGGCGCACTATCCAGTGCGCCACCGGGCCGGCCCCCAAAATTAATTTTTAATTGCAGTTATTAACACCCTTTCCTAAGTGTGAAAGCTGCAATTCTTTCACAAGGGTTTAGGCTGGTTTGAAACAGGATTTTATCTTCAAATTTTCTCTTAATAGCCTTTGAGAGAGGCAGGTTTTGCTTATAGAAGTCAAGGGAAGTGAGAATGAATACGAATACTTCAGCTCATCCTTGGTTCGGGTAATGCACACAGCATAATTATCTCCTGTTCACATCTCCTGGAACCATCTCGTGGAGTGCATGCCAGAGTATGACCATCACCACAGGTGTTTATGACGTAATTTACACATGTGGATCCATTTAATCCTCACAACAACCCAATAAGGTAGGCATTAACATCACCTCCCATTTTANTGGCTTCACCTCCCACAGGACCCAGAGCGGTCCTACCATTCACAGCACCCTGCCTGATACCACCAACCCTTCCCCACAGTGGGGCTCTGAAGGGGCCTGGGCTTTTCCCAGGGTACTAACTCTAGATTCATTTCTCTCCTTCACATTCTACATTTCCATCCATCAGTGACGTGGGAAAACACAAGACATTTTCTAAAAGTTATTCTCTTTCCTAAAAGTTATTCTCTTTCCTACTGAGCNGGCTCAAGGGAGACACATGACCAGTCCCTACTCACGTCTTACAGCCTCTCTCTGTCCTCTTTTTACCCTAAAATACCAGCCACAAAGGGGCTGGGGTCTGTGGCAAGGTGAGATGTGGGTCTGGGGAAAGCAGGACACTCTGGTCCGGTGGGAGCATGAGTTCCAAAGCTGCAGGGCAGCAGGGGTCTGGATTTGAATGAAGGAGAGGGGACAAAAAATTCAATTTTATGGCAGTTCCTATTGTTCCATCTCTACACATGAAAACAAATATTCAATGAAATACTGAAGATATCCTATTCCACACAAAAAACATTTTCATCAGGCTTAATAACCACAGAGTGGGCTCGATTTTGTAGGGACTATTTTCTGGTAAATGCATTTCAGGGTTCAATTAGGTAAACCTGTGTACACATAAATGCATCCTATACCTTGCCTCAGAAAGTGACATTTTATATGGTCTAAGATGATCCATTTTATAAGCCCCCAGGGCAGAATTAAATGATGCAAACTCAGCTAGAAGTTAGCTTCTTGGTTAGAAGCCCTTTGTCTGGGTTCTGCATTTGTTCTCAGCAAATACACACATGCTCATGGAACTCCACAGCAGCACTGTACCGGGGGGACCACCCCAGAAACTACATCTTTTTTTTTTTTTCCTTGCTTCTCATCTGCAGGACTTTTTTCATTTTTCTTTTCTTTTTTTTTTTTCTTCTTCTTGCTTTCTCAGATGCAGTTTCTTTTTTTCTTTTTTTCCTAGCTCAGACATTACTAAATATCTCTAAAGTAATTCCAAGCAAACAAATCCATTCCCACTCCAACAGCAGCTCATACCCAGGGAAACAGAATCTACCCAGTGTGTACAGACTGCCTCAAGTTCTATGGCCAGCCGGCTTCTAGACATCAGAGTGTGAGTTACAGGGCTAGCCACAAAAGAAGAGAAAAACAGTTTTCTTCCATGGAACTGTGGCTCCCAATTGGTAGGTAGAGGCACCGAGCCCAGGCACACCGCATACCACCTCAGTTCAAATTGCCATTAAGAAATTGCTGGGGCTCAGTATGGGCGATTCTCTCCTCTACCAGAAGGTGGCGAGCCTGGCTTGGTGGCTTCACCTCCCACAGGACCCAGAGCGGTCCTACCATTCACAGCACCCTGCCTGATACC